AAAGAGAAAGACCCGACACACACACACACACTCACACACACACAAAATACATACAGGTCTCTCGTCGACTACCTGCTCCCTTGCCCGGCCGCTGCACTTTAGCCCGATCGTCCGACCTCTCCGCCCTGTCCCGCCTCCCTCAAAACCTCTCCGCCCTGTCCCGCCTCGTAACCCTCAATCTCCAAGACAACCAAATCACCGGCCAAATCCCCAAATCCCTAGATTCACTCCCAATCTCCGCCATCTGAACCTCTGGAACAACGAATTAAACGGGTCAGTATCAAAATCCCTACTCACAAAATTCGGCATGACCAGCTTTTCCGGCAATGAAGCTCTCTGCCTTAATTTCAACGATTGCTCTTCATCCTCCAATTCCACCAATTCAAATCCAACCTCTTTCCCAACTCCACTGGAAAATCAACCCAAAAGGATGAACAAAAGAACATTAATATCCCTAACCACACTAATTTCGATTTTACTGCTCGTGCTCTTCTCGTGGCGATATTCCTGCCGGAAAAACAAAATCGACTCGACAAATTCACTAGCGGCAAGTGAGGGCGGAAAACGAAGCAGCCACTCGAGCCATAAGGGGTTTATAGATAACGAAGGAGGCACGGGCCCCACGCATACAAACTGGCTCGTTTTCTTCGACGAGAAGAATCGATTTGAGCTCGAGGATTTGCTCCGTGCTGTCGGCTGAGGTGCTCGGGAAGGGTAATTTGGGCACGGTTTACAAGGCCGTGCTCGAAGGCAATCGGGGAACTGTGGCGGTGAAGTCTGTTCTTTTTTTTTTTCTGAGTTTTGGGGCTCAATTTGGGGATTTTTGTGATTAATTCACAAATGACGTGGAAGGTGACGTGGGATTATGTGTGATGTACAAAACAGGTGTCTGATGACGTGGCAGGAAGTATTGAATTGTTGTGCCATGTCATTTTTCCGATCGCCACGTCATTAAGTATTGACTGGAAATTTTGTTCGAGACACAATTGCAAAAAATAAACAAGGTTGGTATTTTTGGTGCTAAAATAAAAACCTTGAGTTTTATTTGCAATTTAACTAAAGGTTGTGATTTTTAAGGCAATTAACTCTCATATTTTTCAACGTAGAACACGGATTTAAACTTGGATTTCATTATTCCTTTCGGATTCAAGCTTGTTATTCGGATTCAACTTTGGGATTTACCAATCGTAAGGATTTCTTCTAATTTAATCGTTAAATATGAATTCTTGGGTTGAGATTGTTTGTGTTGATTATTCGATTATGAGTAGTAAATCCTTATGCTAGGGATAGGGGATTTATGTTTTGATTTTGTTTGCGATTATCATGTTCGTGATTATTCAACTTATGCGAGTTGATCTTTTTAAAGGGTTTTTCAATTGTCAGACTTGAATATTGAGAATTGTTGAAGGGTGACACTTCAATTCCCAATTGTTTTCAATCGAGTTCGATATATTCTTGAATGATGTTGGTTATTCTAATTTACTAGTCGGCTAATCACCCTCTAGTCTATCTTAATCGACTCTTAGAACCGAAAGGGGAGGAGTCGGTCGAAATAGGCTCGTATGAACTAGGCTTGTTCGTAACTGTATTGCCTAGACGTTAAATGGCTTGTTAATTTGTCGTTCAAGTTTGTTCTCTTGTTACGAAGAGTTATTAAGGATGAGTTCTTGAACGAGCAAGTTATTCAAATCACTTAACCGAATAATCATTTGCATGATAATTGTAATTCGAACCAAAACGGATATCCTCGACTTCCTAGCCTCTTAAATCCTGTTTGTTCTTCGTTGTTGCTTGCTATTTCTATTGCTTTAGTTAAATTTTCGTAGTAGTTAATTAAAAATTAAACCAAAATTTGAGTTAAAATGTTTAGGAATTTTATTTCTTTTATTTGTGCTTGAATAAACATGCAGAGTATTCCGGCTAACCTTCCTCGTGAGACACGACCCGGTGTTCAAATCTTTCGATTCTACTCTGGAAAAATTATTTTCCCGCAAAAACCTGTTACGGACCACAATTAATGCAGATAACCTACTTTTCCCACCCAAATCATTTTGGGCTTAATAAGGTGATTTTTATTAAATAAATTTATTCATATTCTATTCATTATTCTATCATATAATAGTTATTACTAAAATCAACTAATTATAATTCACTCTAAATGGCATATGTAAGTTACATAATCATCAAAAATATATTGCATTTTTATCAAGCTATTTATTTTAAAAGTAATATTAGATTTTTAATCAAATAATTAATTTAATGGCATGAATTTAAACAATTTATGTAATAAATATTATTGTTTCAATATTTTTTTAGGTAATTAATTGGTCATGATCCACCAAAGTAACAAAAAAGTATGTCATCTATTACATTCTATGCAATTTATATATAGATCCTTTTTTAGTTAAATAATTTACAGTTATATTGTTAATTTATTAATAATCAAATTTAAAAAAATATGATATACATATTATTTATTTTATAATTATAATATTATATGCATACATAATTTATAATACTTTATAATTTACATATGTGCATGTGCATAAGGCCAGCTTCTAGTGAACTAGTACAATACACATACTATATATGGTTTAAAAAAAAAATATTGTATACTATATATGCTTAAAAATAAATAATTATGTAATAAAAAAAAAGTTCATATTCACATTTTTAATTTATGGAAGAAAAAATATACAGTAAAAGTAAATAATTAGCAAAATGATAATATGATATACATGTCTTACACTTCATTTGTAAAAAATGCTAATATTTTGATTATATTAATAAAATTATATATGTCTAATATAAATATTATTTCCCACTTTAGATATCTTATTTTGAATTTATTTGTGTCGTATGATTATATGAAAATAATTTTTGTAAATATAAGACAATGTATAAAAATAGTAACAACAATAAGATACTTTATAATTGTTTTGTTTATTATATCTTCAAGTTGAAAATATTTAATGATTTAAAATATTAAATAATGTGTATAAAATATAACATTCTATAACTTTATCAAACATAATAACTTTTTTTATTATGCATAACATTTTTTATTATTTTAATTATGATACTTATGTATATTTATTATTTTTAATATTTGTCAACTAAATAACTAAATCACGGTATTATACACAATCACGTAAATTAGTACGCAATAGGCATCTTTTGTACCTAATTAGTGTTTTTACTTCTTTTTTTTTTNCAAATATGTACAAACTTAATTAACTAATGACATTTTATACAATTGCAAAATTTTGTTGCCCAATTTTGTCATGGGATTGGAAGTAAGCTTTTTTTATTGAATTTGATTTATTGAATAATTGGAGTTAAAATTTTAAAATATTGATGGAATCCTCAAAATTTCATATATAAATTTTTTCATCAAATTAAGACACAAATCATACAAAACTACCAATTTAGGACACTAACCTAAGGCTATTAACTTTAAAAATATCAAAAAACATAAAAGAAGATGAATAAAACTAAAACCACAAGCAAAGAAAAAAAAACTAGTATAACCTAAATGTAAATATGACATATTGACATAGTGTTTTAAGTCTACTCATTTGAAAACTTTTTCATTTGGCAAATCATACTTTCAAATAAAAGTTGTTACAACAACCATGTTAGTTAAAAACGATGCTAGTTAAAAAACCGTACACTTATATATTTAGAAAAATATATAAAAAAATATTTACAATTAAACATAATTTAAAAAATTTACATTAATATTTATATACAATTTTGTTTTATACAAGCTCATTATCTATCATAATTTATAATCATTTCGTTAATCAATTTTTTTGTTTGTGGGAGGCAAGTCTGATTGCGGCCTGAAAACAATTTAGAAACATTCCAAAATATATTTTTGATATAAAAATAATCATTTAGAGTTAAGAGATAAATAATATATATATATATATATAGAGCTTGCATCATATCTCCGTCAATAAATTCAATCCAACAACTGTAAAGAGATTTATAAAATAATACGAAAGTTTGAACTAATTTATCAAACTATAGAAAATATTGGTAACAGATTATAAAAATTCTTTCTAAACTTATTTTCAGAATTTTAAATATAAAATTGTATTCAATATTTTTTATGTGGTTGATTTGAGAATGTAAAAAATTGATTGATTGAAATGTATTTGATTTTGAGATTGTGAAAGAATGAGTTAAAATGTAAGTGATTGGCTATTAAAAATGTGTGAATAGATGAGTAGTAAACTTTATCGAAAATTGTATGTTAATAATTATTTTTTTCATATAATTATATTGAAAATATTGAGAATAAATAATTTGAATTAAATAAATAGTGTGGTTTGAGTTAAGAATTTTTATTCAATTATAGTTTCACAATAACAATTAAAAAAACTATCTGACAAAACAAAATCTTTTTTTTTTTTTTCAAATCCATCATAAATGATTGCCCATATTTCACCAGCCCAAAACTGCAAATTTCATTTAAACTCGTGATTAGTTGTTTCTATGTCAAAATCATAGTTTTGCCATTCTAATACCAATTATTAGAAGCTCAAATGTGGCTTTAGTGACAACATGGAAAAGTATTTGAATATAATAAAGTTAAGTAACTTATTTTATTGATAAATAAAATAAGCACACATTCTCATAGGAAAAAAAAAATATTATAGCTTGCAAAATGGACCAAAATACCAAATGCTATTTTGCGAGTGCAATATCTTTTTAGATAATATATAAAAACACAAATGTGCAAAGAACAACCACCAGTTGATTACAAACAGTCAATAGTTGAATACAAGCAGCCAATAGCTAAAAATGTGAGAGGATAGATCAAAAGACCGCCTAGAACCAACCCCCACTAGGTAATACTCAAGAACACTAAAAACACAAAGAAACAACAACACAAAGACCCCCACAGGGTAATATTAGGGTGTCGAACTTGGACCCCCACAGAGTAATAAAGTGACACTCGAGCGCACAGAGACCAACGACCCAAACTTAAACTACAACGACAAACACAAACACAGATACTAACACACTAAGCAATAACAACAACCAATCTAAAGGAAAACACAGCTAAATAAAAGGCCCTTCCACAGCAAGTTAGTCAGCTCGAACCAGCGGAGAAAGGTCAATATCAGAGGATAATCCAAGTCCAGGGGACGGCTCCCAAAACTGCCACAACGCCTATAAAAGAAGTCGAGCCCGAACCCGACCAAACTCCAAAGCGACCCGCCTCAACCGGAAGGACCATCGAACACGCACCCGCTCAAGCACCACCCGATCAAGCCTAACACCACTAGCCGAGCATCGGAGCACCAGAATCCCACCGTCTAACACCACTAGACGAAGTAGGGGGCGGCTCGGGCCCTCGACTCCGACACACCATCAGAGCCCCGTCCCTCCTCTCGACCCACAGACCAACTAATATCGCGGCATACCACCGACAGCAGAATGAGAAGAACCCCAAACGGGGTTTCGCCGAAAAAAATTGAACCGCCCTAAAGTTCGCACCAAAATATGCAGAGAAGCCAAAATTGGAGGTAGACTCACCTTCAATCAAGACCGACAGGCAAAAGACACACCAATTGCAGGCCAATCGGCGACCATATATAAAGCCCGCCACCTCCAATCGCAAGAACACTGGCGAATAAGGGCTGGGCAGACCGACAAGCTTCAGCTCACAACGGCAACACCAGAGTTTTGGGGCGGCGGTCGAACGCGACCACCGGCCGCCGGCGAAAAAGGCGACGCGATACAGATGAAGAAGGCGCTAGGGTTTGGCTTTTTTTTCGGCAGAGGAGGCGATTGACCCAATTGGTTAATCTCGAGTGCAATATCTTTACTTCTCCTATCTTCTAGAATGTTGCAAAAATGTGAAATTGGCAACCTTAATCATACTGCACACAGAACCATTAAATTCCATTTACACATAATACATAACCAAGTAAACCTTCTTTTATAACCAAGTAAACCTTCTTTTATATTAACATAGCCAAATCTATAACTCGGAATACTTTACAAATTACAAAATCAAAATAATATTCTACGTTTTCATTTATAAGTGTCCATTTAATTTAAGTTTATAGCTGTTATACTCTCCCGTTCCAATGTCTAGCTATGCGTATTACAATTTGGTGGTGAATGTTTTTATTTATTTATTTTTTTTTTCCTTTTTCATGTTTATACGATGAATAAGAATTTAAAGCTCATTTTCTTTTTCTTTTTTTTTTTGGTACAACTAAAGCTCATTTTCTGATTGCAGCCAAAAGGAAAAAAGAAAAGCTGCAGAGTGTGGTGGAGCTGACAGTGAGTCAGTGACATGGCAATTAAATTTAAATCCGTACATAACCTTTTTAAAAAAAATAAAAAATATAAGCTAAAACAACAATCGCCGTTGCCGGGGATCGAACCCGGGTCGTCCGCGTGACAGGCGGAAATACTCACCACTATACTACAACGACTGCTTGCTCAGGTCAGTGAATAGTTTTAATTTTCTACTAAGTTCACTCTTCAAAGTTCAAACTCTTCTAACTATAATAATCTAATACAACTATGCCACTTAAAAGGACCGGGTCGGGTATGTTCGGCTCAATCGGGCCGAAGAAGAAACATGGTGGTCGACCATCGACTCATTCACGTGTGACCAAACAATTTAAATATGTTTTGAAAGAATTCCAATTAGCTTGTTTGTAGGCTGTAGCATTTATACGATTTTTTCATTGATTGGCGAAGAATATCAATTAGAAAAATAAGGCAAAAGTTAGAAGAAATTCTAATTAGTTGGTGTGTAGCATTTGTGAGATTTTTCACTGATTGGTGACAACAAAATTTTCATTTAAAAATTAAGGCAGAAGTTTTATCCAATTCGCATAGAAACCGCTTTGAAAAGACAAAGACAAGGTCACTACTCCAATTTGATCAAAAATATCATTTCTTTAAATAATTTTATTAATATATGTTGTAATTCCATTAATATCCATTATAATAAATTACAAGATTGATTCCGTGATTTATATTGATAACATTTTGGTCAAGATAAATATTACTACATTTTTAAGTTCTAACCATAATATTAGTTTTTTTTTTCACAAATATTCACTTTTTATCTATATATATTTATAGAAAATCGTAACATGTTAGGTAGAATTTTTTCTTTCAATTAATCAGATGAAATCAAGTTGGTAAATTAATCTTTGCCAATGTAATTTTTTCTTAAGCTTTAATTTTTTATATATAATAATACAAATTATTCTTCAAATTAATATAATTTATCTTTTAATAGATAATGACCAAATACATTAAATTATTTTACTAATGGTAAAAAATTAAAATTGAAACACATTATCTGTTCTAGAATTTATTTGTATATTATTGGCAACCACGATTATTTTTTTTTATTTTGATTTTTTTCTATAATGAAATTCTTGTAAAATATATTTTTATTGCAGAATATGTTAAATAAACTATAAATCTTTATAATGCAAATTAAAAAAATCTTGATTATAGAAGGAATTGAGTGTTTGGCATTTGCTAAATCAAATTGTTTAATTAGTATACAAAATTAATTTCTAAAAAAACATGTGGGTGTATATTTTGTAAAATATTAATACACTATTTAGTTTTAAATTTATTTTACATATTTTAAATTGATTACATAAATAAATAATACTGACGTGCATTAAATATTTTTCATTACATAAAATAAAAAGAAAAAGAAGACGTACAACTTTTATAACTTTTATAAATAATAATGATATTATATGACAATAAAGTTTATAATAAAATAATAATTAAGTATTATATGGTGAATAATAATAAGTAAAACTGTTAATTTCTCATATATCAAGAAATAAATATATATACTAAAATCGAATTTATATTAGTGTAAAGGTGTTAGTGGGATAATATATTAATTATTTTACAAGTTAGTCCTAACATTCACATATTTAATAGATGATAACCATATTTAATAGATGAGGTGGAAAGTAGATAATACATTTTTTAGATTTAACACTGATTAAAAGATGTGTAAAATAGAAGATAACTCTATTACTTTTTAAACTTAAACGGACAGAGCCTGTGAAAATAATTTATTTAATATCAGACTTAAACGGACCGTCTGTGAAAATAACTCATTTAATATCTCTATCATGTACAAAAATAATTCATTTAATATCTATATCTAGTACATCGCACGACTGGGTACAAGTATGTAACAAACATCCCTATTTTATTAGTTTTTCAAATTGGTTGGCAAACTTATATCATAGATGTTTTAACATAGCCGACAAAAGATAAATGCAGGTTCATGAGCATGCTCGTGCTCAAATTTATGTCTGATTTTTTAATGAACCAAATTTTCACAAATAAAAATTCATTCAAACTCGTTCGTTTGTTAATCGAACCAAGTTCAAATAAAAAATTAAACTCGTTTAATAATCGAGCTTCGTTCGCCAACATTCGATAACATTCGCGAACATTAATTTAATATGATTTCAAAAATGAATTTTTACTTTAAAATAAACGAACAAACACGAACAGTGTTCAACCATAAACAAGCACAAGCTCAAATGTCCGCAATTTCGACTAGTTCGGTTCAATCACATCAATAATTCTGTGCAACACTATCACAAGCCA